GTTTGTGTGGGGGGTTTTTTTTTTTTAACATAATAATAATTTTTTTTTTTTTTTTTTTGTCTTTTTCTGTGTCCGGCAACGGATCGCAACCCTCAGTGTTGCCCCCATACCGGACCGGGGACCGGCAACGGGATCGCAACCCTCGGCGTTGCTCCCGCGCCTCGCTCAGCCAGTGAGCGGGAACTGGTCCGTATGTGGGATCCAAACCCTTGGGCGGGAGTGCCGCTGTGCTTCCCAAGCGGCGCACTATCCAGTGCGCCACCGGGCCGGCCCTAACATAATAATAATTCTTTATGTTGGTATGTCATTTTACAGTTTTGGGTTGTTCTCCATTTTTTTCCTAAATATTTTTAGTTATAATCACTGTATGTATAATACTTTGTATTCTTTTTTTCATTGAGATGTCATAAGCATTCTTTTCATATTGCTGCATGTTCTGCTACACAGTCTTCATAGCAGCCTTTTATAAAAGCCTCCTAGTATTTAGACTGTCTCCCCTCCCTCACAAGGCTCTAGCCTCACTGGATTCCATTATGACCTTCAGACTAGTCAAGCCCTTTCCCATGCCTTGCCCTTTGAACTTTGCTCTTCCAGCTCTTCATGTTATTAGCTGTCCTTATCCTTCATTATTTGCTTGTTTATTATGTTTCTTTGACTTTACAATATAACTTAATAAGGGCAGAGGGCACGTCTGTTCAGTCCTCTGTTGTATCCCCAACACTTAATCAGTATTTGGACAATAGAATCAATGAATGAGTGAAGGACATAGTATGTATGTAAAACTCAGTTTGGGGAATATGAAGGAGCTCTTAGATTAAAATTGAAGTTTTAAGATATTACTTTTTTTTTTTTCTTTTCAGACCAACATATGCTACTCCAAAAGTTCTAGAAAAGGCAGGATTAACCATGAATGATATTGATGCTTTTGAATTTCACGAAGCTTTCTCAGTAAGTCATTTGAAAGGCATATATGAAAAGACTATAGTCATAAAAAAAAAAGTCCATGTTTGTGGGAGAGAGCAAGGCATGGAAACAGGAGTGGAGCTTTATACTTTAAGTACTCACCTACATTGCTGGGAGAGGCATAGCGGAGGGAATCAAGGGCCACACGTACTGTTTTGAAAAACATACCTTTTGAGGCTTTCTCCTACAGGTCCTTGAAAAGTACCAAATTGTTTCACTGAAAACTGATTTGTTTTCTTATTTTTATTTTATATATTTTTAAGTTTATTTATTTATTTATATTATTTTTTTACCTTCTGTGATGTTGTAGAGCAGTTGGGGGTTAGGGGGAGAAGGGAAGGGGGAGAGAAATAGGGTGGGAGAAGGAGGAAGGGAGGGGTTGAGGCCTGTGGCTCCTCCCTCATTCCTGCAGGGGAGACCAGGGGGCGTCCAGCAGTGTCTTGGTCATTGCTGGGCTGATTGCTGGTGTCGGGGGGTGTGGCCAAGGCCCTCGGCTCTCCCACTGAAAACTGATTTAAAGATTTGTTTAACTTTAAAGTTATACCAACCCATAAAAGAAAACCTAGAAGGACATTAATAGCAAGCCCTGATTGAATTATATTCTCTTCTAGGGTCAGATTTTGGCCAATTTTAAAGCCATGGATTCTGACTGGTTTGCACAAAATTACATGGGTAGAAAAACTAAGGTAAGTTTTTGATAAAAAAAAGTTTGAATTTCTAAAATACATTAATATTTGCAGCTAATAAGAATATGAAGGGGAAAGCTTCCTCTTTTTATGAAGAGTTTTGTGTTTCATTAAATATATTTATTCCTTAGTTTTAAAACAGCTGCTGGAAATTCTTTAACAAAAATAAAAGTAAAATTTTTGTTTTGTTTTGATTTTGTTTTGGTTTTTTTGGGGGGGCTGACCAATGTTGTCTTTTGTTCTTCCCATTTTGATGTTAGATGAAAAATAAATGGACCCTTGTCTTTAATACTGACCTAGCTTTCTTTTGCAGTAAAATTATTTGCGATGTGTCCAATGTTAGTTATTTCCCTCTATCTCTATTACTTCCTATTACTAACAGCCTGGCTTGATTCTTGTCTTAAGTAAACTTACCTTTACATTTGTGTCTTTACTTTGGTGGGAGCCAGGTTGGAATGCCTCCTCTGGAGAAGTTTAATAACTGGGGCGGATCACTGTCCCTGGGACACCCGTTTGGAGCCACTGGCTGCCGGTTGGTCATGGCAGCTGCCAACAGATTACGGAAGGAAGGAGGCCAGTATGGCTTAGTGGCTGCCTGTGCAGCTGGAGGGCAGGTATGTCACAACAGCTCTATAGGAACTTCCAGAAAGTCATTTTCTTAGAAACAAAACAAGCTCATCACTAGAATGTTTGATTTAGTTTAGTTTGAAACATTTTTAATGGAATATTTTTGATGACAGACAACAAGAAAAAAAAGCAGCCTACTGGGGGGAGGGGAACAACTTTAATTCTTTAAAAAAAATTTTTAATTGAAACATAATTGATTGTACATATTTGTGAGGTACCACGTTAAATATCGATACCTGTGTGCAATATGTGATGCTCAAATCAGGATAATTGGTGTATTCAACATTAAACAATGTAATCGTTTTTTGTGCCCCTTTACCAATTTCTTGCTAATCCCTCCTCTCCCTCCTCCTTTCCCACTTCTGGTAACCTCAATAACTTTAATTCTGATAATACTTTGGAAGGAAGATGCTGTTTAAATTCAAGCTACTTTTTTTTTCTTAATGTAATATTTACTTTTTTTTTTTTTTTTTTTTTTTTTTTTTTTTTTTTTTTTTTTT